CACGTCGCCTAGTATACAACTTGAGATGAAAGGGTTTCACATGGAACTTGGAACCGACAAAGAAGCTGCTACCCGCTACCCTCCGTCTTTCCTTGCTGTAGAATTACGTGAGTGGGACCTGCCATGCTGCTGGTTCTTTTGCTGCTCAGTCCCTCAGAAGCGTTGCAGCAAATTAGCAGCTGTGGAGTGTTCCGCCACAACGCGCAATTTGCTTGAAAAGCTGAGAGATTGCTATCACTTACAAAATCTCTTGCATGCACACACAAACAATGTTGGATTACGAGCACTGATGCAATACCATTGTCTGGGCAATGGCAAAGACAGCAAAAAGTTCAGCACAAAAAGATCCGTCAAAACGGGTGCTTCTGATATTCACGAACATGGGAACAACTTCCAACCTTCGGCTGGAAGCACCGTGCTCCATGCCGTTTGCAACCCTGCCATTCAGAATCCCCATAGGATCTCAGCCAAGGGAAACGAAGGCAAAGTAACAAGACCGGCAGGATCGTGCGAGGCTCGTGGCGGCGGGTTCAGGAGGCTCAGTAAGTCAAAACGAAGATTCCAAAGAAGGTCCACGCGTGGACGGAGAATATCCTCATGCTGATGCTCAAAGCTTCACTGGTCACAGTAGTGCGCAAATCTTCGTTCGAGTCTGGGATGGTGCTTGATGATGCTGTGGTGCTACTACCAGCCGAAGCGCCACCAGCATTCACTGCAGTGCTGCTGGTGCTGCTTGGATCCTCACTGCTTCCAGTGCTGGTGGTGCTTGCATCACCGTTGGTCGCTTGTGAGGCAGTGGTGGTTGATTTCTGGGCCTCTGCGGTTGTTGTAGTGCTTAAATCACCATTGGCAGAGGCTGTCGTTGTTGTCGTTGCGGTTGTGGTTGTCGTGGTTGCAGTTGTTGCCATTGTGCTGGAAGTCGAACTGGTGCTGACGGTGCTGACAGAAGAGAAATAGATCTCGCTGCTGCTCAAAGCCGGTAGCTCCTGAATGTTGCCACCCATGTTGGAGCCAGAGGCATCAAAGCACGGGCAGAAGCGATCGTACTGGACGTTGCCTGTCTTGGTGGTGATGGTGGTGCCACTTCCACCGTCATCATCACAGTCCGAATACAAACTTCGGCACACAGCGACACTCACCAAACCACCACTCTGGCTGGGTCCATGACACCCGACTGTGAAGGGGGCCTGATCTTGAACATGGTAGTGGTACACAGGCGTTGATGAGTCCGGTGTCGGGCCAATGTGAGCACCACATGCATCCAGCAATGGGAGTCTCTTCAAATCATAGTCTTCCCACTTGCCATAGATGCCGTGAGAGGCAACATCCCCGACTTTGGTCGAATGACCACCCGACTGGGCATACAAGCAGCTGAAGCTCTTGTGGAAGTGGTAGTCATTGGCGTGCCCTCCACACGGGCCGACCACGCCAAAGTATGTGTTGCCTGCATGGAGCATCAGGACGGCGGGGGTCAACACAACCACTGCTTTGTGCAAATTACGGCAACTGCTGGTTGCAAATCTGACCCCCTTCTCCCCCAAACCCTCATTCAACAATACCCATAAAAACACTGCACCCTTCGTACATCTTCGTACCTTCAAGACGAGGGAATTCGATGCCGCAAGCATGCGCCACCTTCCTCTCCGCAATGCCAATGTCAGTTCCACCTTCCGTGTCGTAAACAACCTAAGCTCGCTCCACATCACCATGGACCATAGGAAGGAAGAACAATAGCAAGAAAACAACCTCTCACTGGTCAACAAGTCAGAAGGTCTCCAAGTCCTACCTAATTATTTGAGCAACTGTCAGTCGAGTCCAACAAAACAAGTCTCACCCAAATCTTAATGCATCCGGTGGCTGAAGGAGTAGAGCAGCCCCATGTGCGGATGATGTTGTCCTGCTGCGAAGTGAACCCAGCCTCAAAAGGGCCGTAGATGTGTGCTCCACTGCTGATCGTATCACCAGCTGACAATAGCTCATGAGCATAGGTCTCAGCTCCTGCCACTGACGTGCAGCCGACATCTCCCAACAGAGGTGCCGCGCACGGTGGGCTGCTGCAGGAGGGGTTCTGACATGTGGCACTTCCACCACCTCCGCCTCCTGGGGGTGGACTTGGCCCAGTACCTCCGCTCCCACAGCCGGCCGGGGGAGGACCAATGCCAGGCCCCCAGGTCACTCCATGGCCCGAACAGTCTTGACCCCAAGCAGCGGGCGCCGTCAGCAGGAGCGCCTGGCTGGCTTGCAGGAGCGTGCGGGCTTTCAGCAGGGTAAAGCAGGTGGACCTTCCCAAGAAACATGGAAGTGGACAAACATGATGGTTGTAGTTGAAGAAAAACACGTGTCAACACCCCACTCAGCACTTCAACATGCACTCCTGGCCTGAAGAAAGAGTGCCATGATGCCTTCCTTGCAACCAGTTGCCTACAGTGTTCCCCCCTTCGAGCCCGAAGCTGCGGAGAGGTCCACTAAACACGCACGACGCCCATCACACGCCACACGGCCCACCACCATCGAGGGCCCTGCCACGGAGTCAGACCTGCGCACCCGATGGCACCCAAACGGCAATCGAAGGTCTGACCAAGACGTAACCCCAAAGAAGCCCTTGGCATGTTGGATCAGTTCTAGGGTGCTTGGAGTTTGGGAGAAAAATGGAAATGGGTGGTTCCCGCATGGTGATGGTGGCTCTGGAAAAGCAAGTCCTCTAGGGGAAGTGAAGACTTACCTCAATCGAAAAATCTACACTCTTCCAGATATACGTGTCCCGGAATAACCGGAGAAAATGGTATCATAATGATTTTGAACATGACCCAACATGCCTCGAAAAACTGCTAACCTGTCCCATCACAGAAGAGATGCCCATCTTTGTGACGGGCTATGTTAGCTCTCTTTTTTTTGCAAAATCTTAGGGTTTCTTAAATTCGTAAACGGACATGTTAGCATTGTCCGGGCAAACATGTCCACCAAGACACCAAAGCAAGGGAGCCACACTTCTGCGGGACACCACCACTTCACTTGCCAACGCTCAGTATCCCACACCAGGATTTTTGATAATGAGTTAGTCTAGATTCCCAGGATCACATTGCAAGCCAAAGGCCTCTAAGCAGCTAACCTGTCCAAATCACGTTTGCAAAAACAACTTTTGAATCGCTAACGTGTCCTGCTCATGGATCTGACCTTCCAGGTCACCTAACTTAACCAAAAAAGAACAGAAAAAGCCTTTAAACTTAAAAGGATACGTAGAAAACTGGGAGAGTATGTATTTTTGTCGACACTCCACACATCGACTCCCATCAAGCCAGTTCGGCCTGGCATCCTTGGTGCAGGTCATATCCCGCATGCGGCGGCGGACCTGTGGACAAGGCGGACAGGAAAGATACTATCACAGAAGGGCATGAGCATACACATGTGAGACTAAGAAGGGGTGGACAATTACTGAGTCCAGTTACTGTCAATTGTTAGCCTACAGGATCTTATGGCTAGCAACAAATCCGCAAACGCTGCTGGCAATAAAAGCATTCGGCCTCTTTGATAGGACAGGAACCGTCTCCATGAGGAAACTGCTCAACGTTCGCCACCGGATTTGGAAGCTGATCCTCTACCTATTTCACTCTACATGAGCTCCTTGGTGTTCACCCCTAGCTAGCCAAGGAAAGAGTCTTGTGCATGACTGACCCGAAAAATTGCTGGTCATATGCGTGCTAACCCCCAAAAAAAATTGCGTGCTAGGAATGCTCATGGGCCAGGCAAAGCAGGTCCAAACCCTCCAAAAAGGGCCACCCTCCAGCTTGAGAACTGCCGTTGCCGGGTTCCACAGTTGCTGGGTGCCTTGGTCTGCAGGTTGACGCGCTCCGCTTCACCTGCACTCCTGACATGGTCTGAAACCACCCACCCGATGCACGGAGGAAGCACTTCAGCCAATGGAAACATGCCAAACAATGAGATCAGTGAGCTGTTAACTCTCAAAAAGGCCCTTCGCCCCATGGGAAACTCAGAAGAGCTATGCCGGCTATGCGAGGTTCAACTGATCTCAACCCGCAAATTCAGAAAACAGTGGTGAAGATCCATCCGAGTGCCCAGCATGGCCTCCATAAAAGCAGTTACTGCCAAGCAAAGGCCCCGGCAAACCACCACCTCGTGCCTTCATGCCTTCCATCCAAGACATGGTGCACCCCAAGGTCCTCCAAAACACCTGGTAAAAGGACCCTGCTGCCGGCCCTCCAGTTCGTTCCCATTCGACCCCCGCAGGCGCCGGAAGTTCACGCTGTAGCGCCGGTCGCCGCAGGCAACCTCCGTCGCCGCCTGTGCAACGTGGCCCCCGGGTGGCGCTGGGGTCGAAAAGAGGGCGGGTGTGAAAAAGGAAGGCGGGCTGCCTGAGGGCAACCAGTGGAAATTCTGTAGTGGATGGGTCAGTTTCACTGGCAATTCACCATCATTTGGGCTTGTGACAAACACCCTACAGTATGTTTGGCACCAAACTTCAGGACCTGCCAGCCATTGACTCCCTCTGACCTTCGTAATCCCCCACAGGCCCCGATACTCTCACCAGACGTCACTGGGAAGCATTTCGAGGGAAAGATCGCTCTCAGGTTCAGAAGCCCCAAAATCCAAACGTTCTTCAATCATATAGATTCAGCAGCACATGGCTTCGAGGGCCACATTGGCAACCATCATCCAGCGATCCCTTTTGGCACAGCCCAAGCCTAGGCCCTCAACAAATACTGGACATCGAGTGGTTTCGTTGCTGGCTAGCCGATGCTGCACGAGGTGGGAGGCAACACCGAACGAACGCCGATGTGATGGAACCCAGCCCAGGTAAAAGAACGTCAGAACTCCAGTCGGCAAGCATCCTGAACCGTCGACACTAGCCCATGAACTGTTGACAACTGCTTGCTTTTGTGCCATCTCTTGATCTGCAACCCTCCGAAAGTCCAAGAGCCTCTCCCCTAGACTGGGCTGCTCGCAGGAGCGCCTGGCTGAGAGGTCGGGCTTTTGGCATGGTCACTTTGCCTTCCGTTCCGAAAGCTGTCATTCCAAATGCTTTCTTCACTTGCAAATCCGAGCACAACTTAGGGGGACAACCGAACACCCACGCCCGGAGCTGAAATCCTGAATGGCCTTTTGCCTTTACTCTCCCTGCCTTTTCTACCTTTTCATCTTCCCTTTTTGGCTGTTTGCCATTGTCGGCCACATATTTCAGGCTGACGATGAGACTGAACTGCAGGCTCCTTTGGAGTTGCAACTCATCTAAAGGGATCACCAGACTGACATAGCGATTCTCCCCCGGGTCCTTTTTGGAAGTGATTCACACAAACCACTGAGGCCAAAACGATAACGAGCTGGTGGATCCAACCTCCATGCGACCCCGGGCATCGATGCGACCGGCCATCAGGGTTCAGTCACAAAGGTCGACTCGTCGGTGGATGGACCCGCTGTGAGCGCCTCGGACCGCCCCAAGCCCCGAGAGCCCCGAGAGGTCACTGGAATGCACCGTTGTCCCGAGCACCGGTCACTCCAAACCCTCCAGTGGCAAGGTGCACTGCTCAAAGTGTCCCCACCAGTGACCGTCTCGATGGTATCTCCACCGGTGATCGTCTCAATGGAATCACCCAGTAGGTCATCAAGCCTGACAGAGAGAGGAGTCGTGCAGGTGCAACTCGCGTGGCGAATGTTACAGTAATTAAGTGCAATTGATGAGTATTGAGCTGCCCATCATTGTCGTCGCTCCAGTTGGCTCCAGTTGGCACAAGTCCATTCGCAAGAAAATACCCTCAAAGCCTCAAATGGTACACTTTCGTTTGACTCTCCTAACCGCAAAACTGGAAGGAATGCTACAACACCCAAATGCAGTCTTGTCATGTGTGTGGGCTGCACCCTACGCGCTGTGTACGTCACAACGCCGTGAGCTACACCCACTGGCCCGGCACGAGACCGACATGTTCATGCTGAAAGGTCCTGATGTCCTTCCAAAGGTACACCAATCAAACGAAGCATGACCAAAATGTGCTCCTCTAAACACAAGACTGCACCTAGAAGCCAAAACATCGAGACGCAGGAGGAACGGAGGTTCAAAACAGCACCCTATACTAGCGGACTTGGCACTAGGAGCTTAATGCTCATTAGACATCATTACGGGTTCACTTCCTCCCCCACGGTGCCGCTCAGGAATGCCCGCCGAGCGTCTCTCGGTGTGGCTGTCTGGGTTTCATCCGCAAGGGAGGTGCAGAAAGGTCATAGTTGTCGCAGTCGCGCTTGATGAGCAACTGGCCGTCTCCTGCGACAGCTGTCCAGTGATGCAACAAGGAAACTTCGCCCCGAGGTGCCGAAGCAAGCGACCTGAGAAGTCACACAACCCTCGGTCCGAACCCTGTTGTTCGCATGGCTGGTTCGGGACGCAGGTCCCCGTCTTTGGCTGTCTTCCGTGTCTTCATCGTGTTTGGGGGAACTTGCCTCCACAAGCCAAGGGGTCTTCCTCGCAATTTTTCGCCCAGGTGCACCATAGTATTGTTGGGCATTTGCCACATACATCATTTCTTTCAGTGGACGGCTCCATTCACGGGCGATCCCAGTTTCAATCAACCAGCTTCGGTCTCCGAGTATCGTTGGTGACTTCCCGCCCTCTCGCTTCCGCTTCCCGTGCCTGCGTTGCTCGGCAGCACCGTGGGCTGCACGGCGAAGAGACGGTCTTGCGAGAGCAGCGGATCGCAGAAGATCCCCCTTGGGCCGAACGGGCGCGTGGTTGGGAGGGGCCATATTTTGACTTGTCTACCAGATTCGATTGGGTTTTAGTTGTCGGACTGTCCTGTGGTTGGACTTCTCTACCCTCCTTTAGTAACAGCCAGATCATGCCACGGGCAAAAACGCCCCTCAACTCCTGCGAACACCATCGCATGGCGTGAAGGCAGTCAAGGACAGGCCTCCCGAAGGTGTTACTCATTTCTGGCCGAAAGACCCTTGGACGCGAGATTCGTTGGAGGTGCTCACTTTCTTCAGCTCGATCCATTGGCTTGACGAAAGCTTTAGTCTTTGGATCCCAACTCACCCACTCACCGATCGAGTCGGTGAGTTTGCTGCCCGTGGAGGGCTCTTCTCCAACAAAATGAGCAAGATGAAGAAGTGTCAAATCATTCACTGGTCTCATTGGTTTTTCAACAGTCGAAGACTGTTGATTCAGACAATCCCCCATATTCATATGACACATCCAAATTTATTCGTCAACTGCCTACATGAGTGTGCCCTCCCATCGCACCAAGCGACGGCCGACTCTTGTTGCTCACGGCCGGCGGCGGCGAGGGAGGCAAGACCTCTCGCTTCATCAAACGGCCTCAGTCGCGTCGCCCTCTGGGAGGCCTTGGCCTATCACTGAAGTCAAACCCATCGGGATCGGAGACTTTCCAGTCAAACACGTCAAAAGAACCCATCGTTCCCCAGCATGGAAACAGCTGAAGTGCTCGGAGTCAGGCCCGGCCCTGAGCAACCTCGAAGCTTCACTGTGACATACTGTGACTAACCGCCCCGCTCTGCCCTGTGCCTAGGGATACCTGGGAAATCCTCCAAAAGTCGAGTGCATCTGAGACTCCTTCGAAGTAGGTGAGCCGCTCTCTGTCCCCATTGGCCGAGTAGAGGATTCCAGCTCCATCCTAGGCTCAGTTCACAGCTTGAAAACCCCGCGAAGGCCGAGCAAATCGTCCCCTGGACCTGAAGAGACCAGACCAGGCTGCACGGCGAGTTCGCCTGTCGTTCAGTCGTGCCCACTTCCCGTTCAAAGCGCGAGCGGCATACTTCCCGTGGTTCCAGGCGCCCTGGTACTGAGAGCCATCCGCGAAGTAGTAGATGCCCAAGCCGCTGCACTGACCTGCCACGTCCGAACCGGCCACTTCGCTGCGACCAGCCGTCCGAAGAATGAGGATACCCTGGGAGTCCGAGACTAGTTCCAAAATGGTCGAGACTAGGTGACCCCACGAGGAAACATCCTTTGGCACTTCAATGAGCAACATATAGTCTGTGGACTTCTAGAATGGCTTGTTCATCCTGTCCTCTGACCTCGTGCGACCAAGCTGCCATTGTACCACCATCCATCGTACTTGTCGCCATTGGCGTACTCCTGAGATGAACAAGGATTAATGGCGACACCTCGCCGGTGGTCGAAAGAGTCTTGGCATCAGGACAGGAGGGCTCGGAGGGCTCGGAGGGCTCTGTTTGGCCTACTTGGCTGCAGAGTCAAGAAGTACCTTTACCCAGGCTATCACTGCCTGGACATCTCCTTTCGCGGATTCACTGGAGGCTTCCGGCCAAACTCACCGGTCACACTCGCCTCGACACGCGAGGGGTGTCGAATGACCCTCCCGGCTCGGATCCCAGGACTTCACCAGAAATGCTGTACACAAATTGGCCCCCGTATTTTCGGAATGAAGAGACACCAGTGGAGTTCATGGTGTGGTGTGCAAGTGTCCATCCATAGGTGGTCGAAACGTTTTTTGGAAGGGACTGCTCATTAGTGATGTGTGTGTGTGTGACCGACACCTTCATCCTCAGCCCTAGCCGACAATGGTTTGCCCATGTTTGCCCAACAAGCATCCTGGACTCCTCTCCCATGACGACTCCCATCATGCCACTCTCCTGCGCGAGAAGTTGAACCCATTCGATCAGTGCAACCCTACACAGTGTGTGCTTTTCATTTGTGCAGAAGGTTCAACTGCTCGACCCCGATGGCCCCAGCTCAAGTACATTGGCCCAACATCCTGAAGTCTTTTTCTTCCAGATCCCAGTCCTTCATATTTCAGGTTGGTGGTGCCGATGTAGGTGCCATATCCATGCTTCCGTCCCTTCTGCCACTCGCCATCGTATTGGCTTCCATCCTGAGGGTCGCATCCGAAGCGGACGAGCGGAGGTGTGGAGCTAATACCACTTCCTATTCAAGGAGCGAAAAGACCCACAAGTTCGGTCTGTTGGACCACCAAACCTACCGCCGTGGCCATGCGACCTTGACGTCCATGGTCCAAGACAAAGCATTGCAAAGATTCCGCTTTTCACAATGCGACGAATGCTGCTCCGCAGCTGGTCTCTGGCTGCCGCAAGCCTGGTCTCGGCTGGGGCAAGGGCCTGTCGGCCCATCAAAATGGCTGCACTTGCAAATCTGTTGGCTAAGTGCATGCTGTAAACCCTGCCACATGACAAGCTCCTGTGGCTCGTTTCGCCAACGGCACGGCAAAGCAAAAAGCCTTCCTGGAAGGATCCTCCAACCACGCCGACTGAACGGTTGGGTGGTTGGTGCCGCGCTGACTTTCGCTGATTTTTCACGTGGTGTCATGTTTCAGCTCCTCTGCTGATCTTTGGGGTCTCACCTCATCAAAACTTCCCATCTGCTACTTCTCAATCCTCCTCGGAGTCGTCATCATCCTCCTCATCCTTGGGATCTGCCGCCTTCTTAGCCTCCTCAGCTTTGGCGTCGTCCTCTTCCTGCGGAACGTCAACATGAACCCAGCAACGAATTCCCTTTTCACAATGATCGGGATACTACAATCTCAGACACGTATATAGTGGGCAAAAATGTTACCATGTTTTGTGAGCAGATGGGCAAATCCAAAATTCCAGAGAAAATTCGCGCGTGATGATATCACAATTTTGGGAAACCAAAACCTCTGCGGATGTTTCAGCTCCACTAAATGTTCCCACAATTCAGATCTTTGCCATTCAGAGCCGTTGGGAAAAAAACCAACCGTGGAATGAAGAACACGGGCAAAACAATGAAAATGACGTGAAACGGAACATGACTGCGCAAGGGAAACGAAGGAATTGCAAGGAAAATTGGTAGCCTTCTCATTTCCATGGCGAAGTTTACTCAATCATTAATCTAGATGAGAATCTTCAGAACTGCTGACCCCTTCCTGGCACAATGTTCTGGCAAATATTGATGCCCTGGCAAGGACCAACAAGAAATCCCTCAGATTGTTCGCGCCCGGCAGTAGGCAG